GAGGGGATGTGGGGTAGAATGGGAACCTCTGCCCAAGGACCCTGGGTTTTATAACTTGTGATAGGTTGTCTCTCAGTCCTTCAGGAGGGGGAGGGCATCTGTCACAGAGATTCATTTCCTGCTTTAAGGGGCACAGAGCAGTCAGAGAGTTCTTCCCACTGCTGCTGCTTTTTAGGTGATTTTAGTGCAAAATAACCCATATGCCATTGTGGGATATCTTGGGGCAGCCCAGGGTCCCAACACTATCATGGTAGAATTTTTTATTTTATTGAATTTATTGGGGTGACATTGGTGAATACAATTATACAGGTTTCAGATTCTACAGTACATCATCTGTATATTATGTTTACCACCCAAGTCAAGTCTCCTTTCATCACTATTTATCCCTCTTTGCCCTCTTCTACGCCCGCCCCCCCCCCAGCCTTTCCCTCTGGCAGTCACCATACTGTTGTCTGTGTCCATAGTTCTTTCTTTTTTTTCTTTGTTTAAATGCTTCACCCTTCTCACCTACAACCCCCCAACCCCTCCCCTCTGACAGCTGTCAGACTGTCTCTATATCCATGAGTCTGTCTCTACTTTGTTATTTTGTTCATTAGATTCCACATGTGAGTGAGAGCATATAGTATTTGTCTTTCTCTGATTGGCTTATTTCACTTAGCATAATGCTCTCCAGGTCCATCCATGCTGTTGCAAAAGGTAAGAATTTCTTCTTTTTTTATGGCGGAGTAGTATTCCATTGTGTAAATGTAACCATGGCGGGATTTTTAAGCCAGGCATTCTGGAGCCAAGCTGGAGGTTGCAAACTCACTCATGCAGATGGAGCAGGCAGGTGACGTGAGGAAGGACAGCCTGATGCGAGACCAGAAGAGACCCTGTGGATGGAGGGCACAGCCACAGGACAGGAGAATTTCTCCCTGGCACAGCCCCTCTCCCAGCAGCTCCTCTGGCTCTGTGCTGTGGTTTCCTCTGCCTCCTGCCACCCGAGTTTCCAGTGGTTAAAGCCTTCTTTGTCTGACGCTCTGAGAACCCCAGCGAGGGTGCCTGCAGGTTTTCTCGAAGACCCATGTCTGGGCAGCCTCTCCCCGGGTGTCACAGCTCATGGAACAAGAGGCGGGCTGAATCACAGTTGCTCGGCGGTGTGGCACGCACATGTTCCATTGTGCTCTGGAACGCCAGGCTCCAGCCCAGACCACAGAGGGCTGTGGGCAGAGCAGCCTCTGATCTGTCTCATCTCTGGAAACCCTGACTTTCGAGCTGGGTCAGAGCCAACCCAAAAGAAAGTGCCCACACTAAAACCTGCAAGAGGAGCAGCGGCCCCGGGCAGGGCGACAGGCGCTGCCTGGGGTGCTCGTGCCCCGGAGGGTGGCTGAGGGGGACAGCCCACCACGGGCACCGCGTGTGTGCCTTCCCTCGGAAGAGTAGGGCTGGTGCGGGAGGGGTGCAGGTGCAACTAACCTCGCTGCCCAGTGGACAGGATGCGCCGGGCTGGCAGGAAGGCTCTGATCACATGAGCAATGAGGAATCCGGTCACTTCTCAGACTGACAGTTCCTCTTGAACTGGTTACTTGATCTTTTTTTTGCCCCTTAGTCACAAAGTTAAAAGAAATGAGTGGGCCTCATTCTTCAAGCTCCATCTCAGATTCAACCTCCTCCATGAACTGTTTCCTTCTCTCCCAGCTCCACCCTCAGTCCAAACAGGACTCCTCTCCTTTCCAACCTGCTACTAACATGCATGTATCCAGAGCGGTTATCACGCTAGTAACGCAGTTACTGTTCCTGGGGCCTTCTCTGCTTCAGCGCGGTCTGTGCGCTGGGCCACCCGAGTGTGAGGACTGGCCAGCGCCCCTTTATCCCCTAAGGTGGGCAGTGCTGAGCTCAGCACGCAGGAGCTGAGGGGTCCAGGGTAGACCCTGCCCTTGCCCACTCCTGGTCCCTGATGCGCTGCACTGGGCACGCACTGGGCAGGGGGTTGTGAGGCCTTCCGAACACATTTCAAATAGATCAGGTCGGGCTGGTGGAGCCCCCAACATGGCATGCGCTTCAGAAAGGTGTGATGTCTTCTGACTGCTCATAACCTTAACAGTTATCATGTAATCTGAGGGCTGCAAACAAGACCCCGCTGATAGGTGCCTGTGGAAGAGCCTGAAAGACAGGGGTGTCTCCGTGTTCCCTTGGATCCCCACAGGGGTATAAGGTGCCTGGTGCTCAGGGGGTCGGCGGCAGGAGGACCGAGTAGCTCCTGGCTTTGTGGGGCTCCTTAGCCCGCAATGTGCCCCTTCCTCCAGCTCCACGTGGGGAGGAGGGACTGACGATCCGCAGGGAGTCAGCCAGGAAAGGCCGCAAGAAATCAGGGCGGCTACTGAAACACTAGGAGCGGCAGTCAATCGTGAATGCTGTCCCTTCGTTAGAGGACCAGTGTCCACACAGGCAGGGACAGAGATGGAAGGAAGGACTTGGGGATCGGATGTCTATGATAAATGGAGGAAACACGGCTGATGATGAACCCCAATTCAGGCCTCTGGGTGCATCTACATTAAAAATCACCCTCTGGGGACCTGGAAAGCCTTGTGGGAGTCAGAGGAGGCGAAACTCATCGAAAGCAGTTTCATGCTCGAATTGAGTCTCACTGGGAGGTTGGGTGGGTGGAGGGACGAGATGCAGCCCAGGATGGGGTCTTTTCTCTGGGCGAGCTGGGCTCTGCCACTGGCACCCCCATTTGGTGGGGTTGACCTTTTCTCTTCTCAGGGGCTGGCAGGTGTCAGGCCAGGAACAAAACATTGGCCACTACCCTTTCCCTGAAACTCTTGCTCCCTTTAGGCTTCCAGTGTTTGCATTTTTAGGTCTCTTGGTTTCAAGTATCAGAAACCCAACTCAAACAGGCTTACATTTTAAAAAAAGAAGGAAGTGATATGCTGCGGCCACGGTGCTCAGTGGAGTTGGGGAAGGTCTTTTATCTCAGATTTCCTGGACAATGAGGGGGTTACACTGGATGACCACACTGTGCTGAGAGCCAAGGCAGGGTCCATGCCTGACCTGGGCCACATGGTATGTGCAGAGCGAATGAATGAATGAATGAATGAACAGATGACCGTGTGTTAAGATTGATTTCAGTTCTCACTCCCATGACTGTGAACACAGGCATCTCTCCAGCCAGGAGGTGCAGGAAGATGTGAAAAAGTGGAGAATGTAGAAAATGTGCATCTGTAAACGAGAGAAGAGATTTCTGAGCAGAGAAGCCTGGACACTTAGCGTCAACCCCAAGACCTTCTGCGAAAGGAAGTGGTTCCTGCCGCCTTCTGACCACTTCCGCGTATCCCACCCATCTTGTGCCTCACTCTGGGGAGAGGGAGCTGAAACAGAACCAACAGAAGGTGTGTGTGTGTGTGGGGGGGGGGGGGGGGGGGGGTCAGACTCTTTAGAGATCATAGTTACTGCGTCCTTATTCTTTGCTCCAACCCTCTCCAGGCCCTTCCTTCGCCCTTGTTAGCCAGAGCCCAGGGAGCGTGAGTGGAGCCTTTGCAGAAGGTCTCACACACACGCACACACGCACGCACGCACACACGCGCACGCGTGCGCGAGGCAGGGTGCAGGTGGAGTGTAGAGAAATATTTGCTGTGCGGGGATAAGGAACATGCAGAGCCATGGGGTGAGTTAATTCAGAGCTGCCAGGGGAAGAAAACCGCAGGCCCTTTGCTCTCTCCCTGGAATCCCTGCCTTGAGGGATGGAGCCCAAGCAGGCCCCGGGGGAGCTCCCCCTTTCTTTACAGAGCGGTCGCCTTCATATGTGAGGTGAGACGTGCAAGGATGAATGCACTGTGGGGTCGGGTGCTCCTGGGCCAGGTGTCTGCAGAGCAGAGGCTGACTCAGACAGGTGTCCGCCCCTGTCCTGGGAGGCATCAGGTGTGCCAGTGCATGTCCAGGTGTTTCAGGTGTGTGTGGGGAGGGGCAGTACGAGGAGACAGGACTGAGTCTTCCTGACTCTTCCACACACCGGCTGTGGTCTTCGGGGACACCGCTTACCTCTGTGGAGCTCAGGTCCCCATCGGTAAGAAAGGGGCATGATAGCGTGACCGCAGCATTCTAGCGTTGAGATTCTGGAGCCATGGAAGGTTCTGGGCTGGTGAGACAGAGCTGCAGCTGGTTTGCAAACCAGGCTCAGGGGCGAGTATCTCATTTGTGAGATAACAAACAGGTGCGGCCTAGCGCTCGTCACTCACTGGGCCGAGGCTGGCTGCCCCCTTTCTGCTGGCGCAAGGCTGTGGGTTCAAAACTGGCTTCTTGTGGGACCCGAGGGTGGGAGGCTCTCGAGGCATCCAGCTGCACAGCCCTGACCAACATCTGCCAGACTCTCAAAGGAAACAGTGGGTGATGAGAACAACGACTTTGACATTTCAGCCTGTCTTTGGTGCATCTGGCTTTCCCACAAACCCACCATGACACACGTTTATGCAATGAAGTGTTTGAAACATCAAGTAGGGGTTCATGAAAGAGCCCACAAGATCAGGCATTTCCAGTCTTAAAAGATGGTGTTTGGGGTGTGTCTCACACCCCACCCCACTTCCTCGCCGCCCTGCAGGTGGGCTCCCAGCCCTGTGCTCTTAGGGGTGCTGCTCACAGGGAGACATGAGCATTCTTGCTTCGTAATCACTCTCATTCTGTGGCCTTTCGGGGTTAGAGTTTTGGCTCAAATGCACACAGGGTGTGGGACCTTTTGGAAGGATGTGTGTAGTCTGGAAGGATGAGTTGGGGGATAAGCTATGAAGCATCACTCTTGTTTCTCCAAGTTACACCAGGAGAAAGCAAGAGAGTGAGGATGACAGCGGCAGTGGGGCCAAAAGGATCACTTAACTTATTTGAGCGTCAGTCTCCTCATCTATATTTATTGAATCAACAGATATTTATGGAGTGTCTCCAACACCAGTCTAGATTGGGAACAGCAGCATCTTAGGCAGAGGCCCTCAGGTGGGCAAGTACTTGCCATGTTTGGTGAACAGAAAGGCCAGTGTGGCCACAGTGTGGTGAGAGAGGTAGAGTAGAATGAGATAGGTTGTAGAGTTAGGAAGAGCCCAGATAATGCAGAGGCTTAGAAGTCATGATGAAGAGTTCAGATTCCTTTCTTAAGGCGATGGTGAGCCACAAGAGTGTTGTTTGAAACCCCCTGGCAATGGGCAAGGAGACACCTGAATAGTGGTGTTGCTCTTAGATCAATCAGGGGCAAAGCAGATGTACAGTCCTTAGTTCATCCTAGCTTGATGCCTGTGTCGGTGGCCAGAGCTGTTTCATGCCTGAGGCGCATGAAAATAAATAAATAAAAAAGAGTGTTGTTTGACACAGCAGACCAGCATGGTCAGATTTCTACTTGAATGTGAATGTTGTCAAGCTTCCACAATAAAATAAAGTCAGCAGCAGGCGGGCAGCACCTGCAGAGTGTCGGGGGATGGGGCACATCTCATCACTGACTGAGGTTGCGGAAGAATCTTCCATTCCCCCCAAAGAGTCCTGTTCCTGACCTGGGACCCTCCTGTCTTCATTAATTCAGTCCATGTGTATTGGTTGAGACTGCACCCTTGAACAAGACAGACAGTGTAACACATATGATTTGTCAATGCCCAGTGCTCTCCCTGTCCCTAGGAGCCTATATATTACCATTTCTACATTCCCTGGCAAGTGGGATCCTGATTGGGTCCTGACAATGGAGAAGCAATTGCAGGAGATTGGAAGGTGAAAGAGGAGGAGCCATTGTTCAGGGCAGCTGCTGAAAGGCATGTGGGAGACGGCACAGGGGTCGGGTGTGTTTCTTGAGCTTTGTCATGCCCTCCTAAGAATCGCCCACTTGAGTGCTGCTGGCAGCTAAAACTATTGGCTGTAGCACGAATTTTTCATTTCAAGGTTTTGCATTTCAGTGACCTCCCTGACCTTTGCCCTTGCAGCCTTCAGTCCCTGCATTAACCCTTTCCTTCCTCTGAATATTTGGAGTGGCTTCTGCTTTCCTGACCAGCCTCCGAGTGATCCACAGGGGCAGGGCAAGAAAGGGAGTATCTTGGATCTGATCATCCTGTTTTGGGGGGTGGGGCTGAAGGATCATTTTGGCCCCATTGCCACTGTCATCCTCTCTCTCTTGATTTCTCCCCTCAACCTGGTGTAACTTGGAGAAACAAGGGTGATGCTTCATAGCTTATCCCCCAACTCATCCTTCCAGACTACAAAAGGACATCAAAGTCGCCATTCTCTTGGACACAAGAGATCAAATTGAAGCATAAAGCAAGCAGTGGCTACCTACCTACTCAAGTGAGAAAACAAACCTTCTACCCCTTGCAAATTTCCCGAGCCAATCAGATCTTGTGAGGTGGGAGTAGAGAGGGGCCTCTGCAAAAACAACAGAGAAGCAGCACAGCCTGCGGAGAGCAGTCAGAATTGGCTGTGAGAGTCTTGGCTCTGCCTCTCACCTTGTGGAGGGAAAAAGCAAAACGCCTGAAAGGGAATGGGAGTTGGATGGACCACCGACTTCTCTAAAACGGCTCTGGATGCGAAAAGACAAAGAGTCATCATTGAAAAATCTTGGGTGGGGGGGGGGGAATGTCTGATGTGGGAATGTATGTCCCCCTAAACTACCACTTGAATATGAGTGGTATTATAAAAAGGCATGAATCCCGGGAGGTGGGGGATCCCTGGGTCATCTTGCCCTCCACAGAGAGGAAAAATAGCACAGAAAACAGGACACCATGTATAATCACAACAAAACTACAAACTGTCAAGCAATTAATCTAAGAAAGAATGTAGGAAACCATCCTAGAGAAAAATTTTAAAGGTCGTGAAAAATCTAATCAGGGAAAAAACATTGTAAAAATAACCCTCCCCCCAAACTACTGCAATTACAGTTAATCGTGCTCTAGAACATTTAGGAACATGATACTATTTTGTCCTAATCTTTTCAGGAGAGATTAAATATACTTAAGTAGCCCAATCAATTTGAAAAAGAAGAGCGAAGAGGGGGAACTTTGTCATAACTAGCTCTTGAGACATTCTACAAAGCCATGATTATGAAAACCGTGTGACCCTGGTCCTGGGATACAGAAACAAACCAATGAAATGGAAATAAGAGCCCAGAACAAGACTCTATGTAAAAAGTTGTTATGTGATGAATTGAACCTCCCAACAGAAGGTTTAGGCAAGAAAGTGAGAGAACTAAATTTGTTTTTCAAAACCTTTCTTGCAGCATTTTGCAGGGAGTCTTGGGTTTGGGAACAGCTGGTGGCAGAGTGACCAGTTAGGGGGCCATTGCAGTATTTCAGGTGAGAGATTACAAAAATAGCAGCAGGAAGAATGGGAGTGGAGAAGGTGTGATGTGAGAAACAGTTGTCCTGGGTGACTCGTTAAATGTAGGGAGAGAAGAAGAGAGAGGAGTTGAAGTTGTCACCAGAAAGAGTGACCTCAGGTGATTACAGGTTGTATAGGGAGGGGTGGGGCGGGCAGAATGTGGCAGGGACACAGGTTTGGCGTTGATTTGGTGCAGGGGGAGAGCCAGAATGATAGTCACGGAAATGCCAAAGCATGATAGAGCAGCTAATGACATTGAAAAGCAGGGCCCTCCAGTAGAATGGAGAGTAAGAGTTTGTGAGAGGTTTATATGGTTTATAGGAAGAAGGACTGTGACCAAAGCTGAGCTGGGAAGTTGTTGGCACATAAATGGTATCTGAGGCCAGAGGAAAGGGTGGGGCCAGTCCAGGTAGAGTTGCCATCTTTACCAACAAACAAGTAGGACAATCAGTTCAATTTGAATTTCACATACACAATGAATACTTCTTAAAACATATTCCTTGTGATATTTAGGACCTACTTAACCCTACACATCATTTACTGTTGATCTGAAATTCAAATTAAACTGGGCAGCCTGCATTTCACCTGCCAGCCATAACAGCCCCTGCAAACAGGAACGGCTCCGGGGACCAGGACGGCATTGGCTGTGGGGAGGAGGGGGTGCAGGCTGGGCAGCCTGGAGTACGTGTCTCATGGGGAAGGGGGGCAGCTGGTGCCCAGATCTTGCTGATTGCATTTGCAGAGATGGCCTTCAGGGTGTCCAACATCCTAATGTTCAAAAACAGAAAATAGATGTTTATTATGAAACATCCCAATTTTATAAGGGGACAACCACGGAAAAGAAAACACATTGCGAAGCACAAGCAAAGCAGGTCTGTGGTTCCATAAGGCACATGGGCCACTGGTTTGCAACCTCTGGTGGACTCTCTGGCGAGTGGGTGGGGCCGGTGTTTCACTGTAGATTATGGTGCTTTGGAAGGTCAGGTACAAAGGCTTTGTGCAGGGAGAGGATGACAGCAGGGGACGAGTCTTTCATGTAAAAGGTAAGATGTGAAAGCCACGCTTCCCACCACAACTCCACGGCGTGCCCCTCGGTGCCTGGATGTACCCATGGCCACTGCGCCCGCCCGTAGCTGGGCGGCAGCTGAAGCCACGGGCCTGCACCTGGTGCTACCTGCTCGCAGGGCCCGCCCAGCCTCCCGCCAGCCTCGCCGGTGCTCGCGCAGCCATTGGGCAGTGCAGGCTTTCATCAGAACGTTGTGGGTGGAAACTTCCCGGGGTTTGCGCTGAGCTTCCTGAGGGTTCTCAGCTTCCAGCCTCCCAGCCTCGCCGGTGCTCGCGCAGCCATTGGGCAGTGCAGGCTTTCATCAGAACGTTGTGGGTGGAAACTTCCCGGGGTTTGCGCTGAGCTTCCTGAGGGTTCTCAGCTTCAGATGCAAAGTGAGTGGGTGTCTCTCTGAGAAGCTGAAAGAGAGAACCAAAGTGAGGTGTTTCCCTTAACCATGGAAACTCTATAAAGAAGGCGCCGGCTCCCTCCTCTCGAGCAGTCAGCAGCAGATGTCCCCTCGTGACACCTGGACTCCAGGGACTAAGAAGGAGGTACGCCCTTTGCAGGTTCTGTGGCTGCCATGCAGCAGCCCCTAAACTACCCGTACCCCCAAATCTACTGGGTGGACAGCAGGGCCCCCTCCCCTTGGACTTCTCCAGGGACAGTCCTCCCCTGTCCCTCCTCGGTGCCTAGAAGACCTGGCCAGAGGAGGCCACCGCCACCGCCGCCACCACCACCACCAACACCGCCACTGCCACCCCTGCCTCCACTGCCACTGCCACCTCTGAAGAAGAGCAGGGACCACAACACAGGCCTGTGTCTCCTTGTGATGTTTTTCATGATCCTGGTGGCCCTGGTTGTGCTGGGGCTGGGGATGTTTCAGCTGTTCCACCTGCAGAAGGAGCTGGCCGAGCTCAGAGAGGTAAGCCCTGTGCTTGCTGGGGCCCGAGTGCTGGGCTGGAACAGCTCCACACAGTGGACGGTGTCAGGCTGCCCTGGTCCACGTGGACCATGGTCTTCCTTGCAAAGTGCTCTTCAGTCCCATATTCCTGCCTCAGAGGTGGACCGTCTTAGTCATTCTGTGCTACGGACAGAGAACTGGAGGCTCACATAAGTAAAAGGAATATCTTTTATCATGTAGAGGATCAGGGTCATGAGAGGCTGCAGCTACAGTCTTCCTTTCTGAGATGGCAAGTCAGCCTGGTGAGCCACGTCCTTAGTGACACAAGGAAAAGGAACATTGAGCATCACTTGGAAGTGAATTTGTGCAAATGGCCAAACTAAAAAAAAAATTTTTTTTAAAAAGAGTTAAAAATGTCAGAAGTATGCCAAATCACAAAGCTGGAGCACAGGGAGACACAGCTGCTCGGCCAAAGTCCGAGGTAGGAGAGGCTGTGTGGTATGTAGATGCCTTCCCAGAGCCTGATATATTGAGCAATTCCGTCTCCTTTGCTTAGGAAACTTTATATTTATTATACGACTTTTCTCTTTCTCTTTGTCAGTCCTCCAGCCAAAGGCATATTGAATCATCTTTGGAGAAGCAAATAGGTGAGTCCTTTTATGCATGCAGATTGAGTTTCCAAAGATGGTCCTCAGAGCTGGGCCCTGTGGGTGGAATGCTGTGAGTTGCATCTGTTCTCGGGCACATTCTACTACAATAGGAATCCTGGCTGATTCTGAATCTCTGGTCCTTTTGGTTCTCTGAGCTGCCCTCAACTATGAAGTCAAGTTAATTGCTCAAAATAAGTGTATCTGAGTACTTCCCACAATTAAAAATAATTTCCACTTTGGGAAGAGACACACACCTCTTCAACCCTGGATCTTTGTTGCCTGAGAAGCTGGCTCCAGGTCAGTCTCCTTCCTCAGGCCTCCTGGGTCCCAGGCACAGGGCGGTGGCTGAAACTCCTCAGAGAGGTGGGGAGAAAGAGAGAGAGAGAGAGAGAGAGAGAGAGAGAGAGAGAAAGAGAGAGAGAGAGAGAGAGAGAGAGAGAGAGAGAGAAAGAGAGAGAGAGAGAGAGAGAGAGAGAGAGAGAGAGAAAGAGAGAGAGAGAGAGAGAGAGAGAGAGAGAGAGAGAAAGAGAGAGAGAGAGAGAGAGAGAGAGAGAGAGAGAGAAAGAGAGAGAGAGAGAGAGAGAGAGAGAGAGAGAGAGAAAGAGAGAGAGAGAGAGAGAGAGAGAGAGAGAGAGAGAAAGAGAGAGAGAGAGAGAGAGAGAGAGAGAGAGAGAGAAAGAGAGAGAGAGAGAGAGAGAGAGAGAGAGAAAGAGAGAGAGAGAGAGAGAGATGTTTCTAGGAAAGGTCTTCTCTTTAAATTCTCTAAGAGATTAATCAAGAGTCAAGCTTTAGTTAAAGCATTTAATAGGATGTACCGAAGCTTTTAAAAAGTGGGGAATTGATCATCCACATTAGGATGGTTCTTTTGCAGTCACTAGAAAGATTGGGGGAAGACGTCAGCCATTATTCAAATAATAAAGGAAAATTCTTTGTATGAGATCCAGGACAGGAGGAAGGCGAAATGTTGAGCATTGACCTCATCACATTTCCGGACATAGTTTTGGAAACTGTGGGCAGACAGATTTAGGACAGAGAGATTAACCTAGGACTTATGGACCTTTAGACTTGCTAAGAATAGGAAGGGAGCTTAGATTGCATCTGGTCCAGTCATCTCATTTTTCAGAAGAGGGACAAAACACCAGGCAGATGAGGCCACATGCCCCAAACCACTGGTGTGGACCTACAGGGCTTTCCAGTATATGGACTGATACCTCGTGAAATAAGGCAACTCCCATCTCTCTTTGATGATTATGAAATGAGAAATATAGATGGGAAGAAAGATGCCTCTGCGAAGACAGTAAGTAAATCTTATTAGAAATTGGGAAGAAAACATAAGGCAGCACTGGCCAGTCAGTAAGGGGAGCCCATTCCTCAGGAAGTGCCTGCTCAGGTGATCCAAATCGCCCTGCTGCCTAGAATGTAGGAGCCAACCTCAGGAGGCTCTGGTCCCCAGCTCTGGGTCCAAGTCCCTAAGGGTAAGAAAGTCCAGATGGGCACAAGCAGTGTATAAATATTTGCTAGAAAAAACAAAGCCTCTAGAAGATTTCTAGGCTAAAATAGATTTGAAAATCAGTGGAATGTGGCTGGTGAAACTGGTACCCAATTACTCATCTTTCACCCACTCTCTGGAGTCATCTTAGTGATTAAAAGTCAAGCGAGCAGATGAGTCAGGTCTACCAACCCCAGAACAATCATCTTCTCCAGATCAACCCAGATGGACCCAACATTGGTTAATTATCACATGGAAATCAAATTAGCAACTTTGCTAATAAGATAAGAGATGCAAATTAAAACAAGAGATACCCATCTTCATCCATCAAATTAGGAAAAAACAAACCCAGCTGGGAAGAAATGAGAGAAAGGGGCTGCTTAAACATGATGGACAGCCAGGGGCCTGTAAGTTCTGAAGAGCAGTTTGGAAACATATATCAAAGGATCAAAACTGTTAATTTACCTTGTAATCTTATCACAAAGAATTTATCTTTAGAAAATAATTAGAGCTGTGCCTGAAAAATTATGTACAAGGATGTTCATCACTTCCTTACAAGGCCATTTATAATAAACAATTCGGAAGAAATGTAAATGCCTCTTAATAGGAGATTAGTTGAATGCACCATGGTGTATTGAGATGACAGCATAATAAACAGCAGCTAAAAACCATATATTAGAAGAACACTTAATGTCATCGAGAGTGTGCACTCTATAGTGTTAGGTAAGGACATACGTTAGTTTAATATTGACTATATACATATATGCATATTTTTATATCTTGATGTTCTTAGCAAAGAACTGGGAAGAATTTATATTTTAGCATGGTGACTGATTCCCTCTGGGAGGCACTAAGCTTCTTTATGTACATCTTTTTCATGTTCCATTTTGCCACAGTTAATTCATTATCTCTTTTATTCATTCACAAATGTTCTTGGGGTGCTTCCTATGTGCCAGGCTGGGTGTTGGGTTGGGGGTGACCACTGAGAACAAGAGAGACGAGGGACCTACCCTCATTGAGCTTGAAGCAAGCTGGAGGAGCTAACCAAAGCGGGCAAACAAACCATATCTTTCCAAAGCGTGCTGAGTGTGCCTAAGGCAGATGGTCTGGAAAGTCCCAAGGAGGTCTTGTGATTGTGTGTGTGTGTGTGTGTGTGTGTGTGTGTGTGTGTGTGTAGTGCCGTGGGAGGGTAGGAGAAAGCATTTCAGCAATGAAAATGGCATGTGCAAAGATCCTGGGGCAGAAAACAGTCATCACCCAAGTATGGGTTATATTTCTAGTTTCCTTATTCCAGTATTTATCCAGCAGGTAATCTTACTGAGCGCTTTCTATGAGAACTATACCATACAAGGCTCTCTGAGGGCTATAAAGATATGCACCATTTCCTGTCAGAACATGGCCTAATGCCAGATCAGCTGCACAGACGGCTTGTGGTGCAGGGATGCAGGCAAGAGTCAGCTTCGCCTTTCCTGTTCACTAGCACCTCATTCATGGTGGGTGATCTTGGGTGGCTGCAGAGGTAGCAAGAGCTCAGGGAATGTTCTCAGTTGTTGAGGCCTTCTCATGCACCTTTCTAAGACTCCTTCTCCAGTGTCTTAGCTCAATTCATTAGCTAAGTGGTAGCTCTATAGCTCTATTCAGTTAAATATTTGAAGTCAGAGAAGTAGTGTCTATTTTGAGAACTATTCTCTATTTTAACTCCTCAATGTAATTTAGCAAACATTTACTGGTCACATGCCCTGTGTTAGAAACTGACCTGGATACTCTGGTGGATTGAACCTGTAGTAAGGAGTTTACCATTTATTTGAGAGAGGTAGGCAAGTTACACAGTTTTCACAGAAAAGGGGTAGGTATCCAAGTGGGCAAGAGAGGTGAAGACAGGATGATTCTGGGAGGGGAAAATCCTATTTGACTAAAAAGGCTTGGGAGGGTGCCCCGAAGAAAGAGGTATTTTCGATGGTATTTATAGGGTTGATAGCAATCTAACATAGAGATCTGTTTGGAAGGGCATTCTGGGTAGAAGGAACAACATCAGCAAAGGCACAGAGGCAGAGAGCTGGGCATGTTCAGGCCACACCAGGAGTCCTAGGGGAACCATACACAGTTATACATTCAATGAATCCATTCAAGGTGTTTGAGCCTTAGGATAATTAATGTGGGGCAGGTTGTAGAATGCCTTTGGAGAAGACCTAGCAGCCAGGAGGTGAATTACCAGTCCTCTTCACCCTCTGGCCTGCTGAGTCTTAGGGACAGTAAAGCCAGAGCAGAAAGAGTCCCGGATTGGAGTCAGGATGCCCCAGTGTCGGTCCCACTCTGACCCTGAGTAGTCGGGTCTTGTTGAACAAGCCACCCAACTTCTAAGCTCATTTTGCCATCTACGAGGTGGGACCGGAATCTCTACAGCTGAAAGGGTTGTGGCACGTTCCAAATGCAGGAACTGGTATGACAGCTCCTAATGAATGAATGAAATTGTTAACGAATGTCATTTTATTGTAACAGTATAACATGCCTACGTCTGTCTTAATTTGGTTTATTTTTTACCTTTCCCTGTCTGTAATACGGGGGCTATGAGTTCCACAGTTTGGATTTGCTTTAGTATGTGTTAGACTGTTGCCATTTATGCATTTTTTAAAAAATCTCTTTTATTTAAATGCCCTGTTTAGAGTTCCACCAAAAGAATAGTCAATATCTCATTTTTACTTCTATATCTCATCTCTCTACGATACAGGTCACCCCAATCCAAGCTCTGAAAAAGGGGAGCAGAGGAAAGTGGCCCATTTGACAGGTGTGTATCGGGAAGGTGCAAGAGGCAGGAAGTAGAACAGCTGGTCGGTCTCCATCGCTGTGTTCTGGGGGAGCTGATAATTGGAGGAGAGGCCCCGTCCCGGCACGGGTGGACTTTCAGCCGGTGGTTGTGTTGTGGAGTGAAATGATTGATAGCGATGTGGTAGGGGCAGTCCCTGTGGGAAGTTCATACACACCGAGAAGTGGATGAGTATCACAGACTGTGTGTGCCACTGTCCCTGGGATTGCTTAGGCAGAATGATCCAGTCCGGAGACAGGCTTCTATAGAGCACATACATGTGTATGTGCCAAGCCTTGGGGACATGGAGAGAAACAATCCGTGGTTCCGCCTTCAAGAAGCCTAAAATCCAATAGGGAAAGAGGTACACAGGTCAGCACTTCAATACTGGAGAGGTTCTCTGCTTAAGGTGTGTGCATGATGTTGTGGGGACACAGAGGAAAGGGGGTTTCAGCCCAAAGAGGGGGACTGCAGGTGAGGAGTTGGGTCCCTGAGGTCCTTTCCAACTTTAGATCTGTAGAGAGTTCCTTGGATTTGGCTTTTTCCCTCCTGGAAGGACCCTAGAGCCTAACCTTCTATTTCTGAAGATCATAGAACTTTTGTTCCAGAGAGCCAAGTTCTGCTCACTAACTTCTTACTGCAGTTGGTTAAGGGTATATATTATTGTCCATTGTGTGTCTCAGAAGGAATTTAGTGATGGATGAGTCTGACCCCTTGGCCAGCTCTATGGGGGTTATGTCATTTTGGATTAAAACACACACACACACACACACACACACACACACACACACAACCTTTTGCTCAAGGGAAGGCAGGTCCACAGTTTTGCCTTGGAAGCTTAGTTTGTCGGGTGCATGAGCATCCCTGGCTAAAAGCTCATCTCTGACTTGGTTTTAGGCAAGCCCAACTCAAGATCCATCCCTCTGGAATGGGAAGACACCTATGGAATTGCCCTGGTCTCTGGGGTGAAGTATAAGAAGAGCAGCCTCGTGATCAATGACACTGGGCTGTACTTCGTGTATTCCAAAGTGTACTTCCGGGGTCAGTCCTGCAAGAAACAGCCCCTGAACCACAAGGTCTATATGAGGAACTTGAAGTATCCCCAGGACCTGGTGCTGATGGAGGAGAAGATGATGGACTACTGCACTACCGGCCAGATGTGGGCCCGTAGCAGCTACCTGGGTGCGGTGTTCAATCTCACCAGTGCTGACCATTTATATGTTAATGTGTCTGAGTACTCTCTGGTGAATTTTGAAGAGTCTAAGACATTTTTTGGCTTATATAAGCTCTAAGCGCACTTTGGGGTTCTCTCCATTATGGCTCCTTGATACAGGCACTGAGAATGTTGTCTTGAAGGAGGGTCTTCTTAAGCCCACTTGAGGTCAAGTGAGAAGACATAAACCAAGAGGATTCTGAGACCACAGAGTCCAGCAGGTCTACGGTTCCCCATCTCGCCCAAGGTCCATGAGCCAGACAGGATGAGGAAGATAGCTGGTGAACATAACACTCTGGGCTGCATGTCAAAATGCAAGATGGGCCAAAGCAGCTACCGGGGTGTTCTACACTCAGCTTCAGAGGCAAAGAGTGTTTGGGCACATCGCAATGGACACCTTCTAACTCACCTCTTGCGGTGGGTCTACTGTCTACCTCAGGGAGGCTGTTTTTCAGTTGTAAGGGATGGAAAAAGGTGACTAAGCTCAAGAGACTGAAAGGCCGGTGTCCCAGTGACAGCATTTTTACTTCTCAAGCCATAGCCTGAGCTGCCAGGTAAAGCAAATAGAAAAGCTAGGGATATCTTTGGGGGATGCAGTCCATTCCCTATACAGCATGTATGTTTCCAGAGCAATGGTAGGTGTGGGGGGTGTGTGTGTGTGTGTGTGTGTGTGTGTGTGTGTGTGTGTGTGTGTGTGATTAGGAAAGCTACCTAAATAGGAAGAACATGTTAGGGAAATATGGGATGCATTTGGTGTCAGTTTCAAATGCTTCTTGGCAACCAACTCTAACAGTCCTCTAATCTTGGATTGTCACCTAGTGATGCTGTTTTCCTATAATATAACCAATATTTATATATATTTTGTGCATTTTAAATGGAAAGAATACATGTAATAAAAACTATATTTTAGAATACAGATAAGAAATATGGATGTACTTTTTAGAAGTCAGAAAGATTTTGCTTTTTTCCTTAGTCTTTCTTCCTTCCATGGCTTCTTAATTCGTAATGACTTAAGGCCACTTCAAGGAGAATTTACTGGGGTGAGAAGCACTTTGCCAGGCTCTCGTCCCCTCTCTGTATTTTCTTCCCTCTCTGTCTTCCATGATTCAAAGTTTCCATTGCTGGTATTATTGCCGGTGTTAAGCTCACCCAACTTTCCATAGATTTGACGACAACTTGTCTTTTCCTGGGGGCATAGTGGAAAGGGCACAGACTTTGGACTAAAATGACCTGAGTTTGAATCTTCATTCCTCCACTTATTAACTATGTATTCACTGTGCAGGCCCCTTGACCTCTCTTAGACAGAAAAGGGCTGATATGTACATAAAGTATTTGACACATAGTAGAATGTCAAAAAAAGATATGTACCATTATTTATAAGCTACTCTGTGAGAGACACTTTGTTCTCCAGAAGTCACTGCTCTTGAGAGATCCATCTAAACACGTGGCTTCTTGCATTTTCACTTTGATCACTCACAATTTCCTTTTCCTATTGTCTTCAGCCACTACCATGGCCTTCTCTAGACTGTCATTGTTAAACATTAGCATACCTCTTTTGAAATTTTATTTCAGGCATTTTATTTTCACAAATCATCTCCTATTATTCCAGCTTAGTTGCTTCAACGTTTTATCTATCTCTATATATCTATAATAATAAAAGCATAATATGCTAATTAGGCCGGACATCCTTCCAGACAACCTTCTGGACGAAGCGGGGGCTGCAAGGGGAACCCGGGTCCCAGGTGCCAGAGGGAAGCCGGTGCTGGCAGCTGGGGGAAGGAAGGCCTACTCTTGCACGAATTTCGTGCATCGGGCATTTACTATATATATATATATCCTCTAATATATAAATATATATAGTAGTATATTTACCATATTGAGACCTCTAATTAATGAGCTCTATTATTTTCTTGCATATCCATCAGCTTCTTTATTTTCACTCCTCTCTGTCTGGCTTAGATTCTATCATCTGTCATTACAATCACTATCTTGGAAAGACCCTCAACCCCCAATATTCTGTTTCCTTCACTGTATTCCTCTTGGGAAAATCCCATTTTCTCTACATTGGCATCCTAGCAGCTGGATGTTGCAGGAGAAAAATTACACAAACAGACTGTCTGGTTTCATTTTATTTTTAATCACTCATCTACTGAAGTCAGCTAATCAATTATGTATCCTCACTAATTTGTTTTTTTCCTTTAGATGGATTTGAATAGGCAATGGATGCTCATTGTACAAAATTTAAAGGATATGCAAAGATAGGAGGAAAGAAGTCCCCTTCTCACCCTGTCCTGTGGCCCCATTTCTGCCCACAAAGAGAGTCATTGCCTCTTGGTGTGGCTTTCCAGGGAGGGTCTGTACATAACGCTCCCATCACTTTACACTCCGAGCTAGATAATTCTTTGTTGTGAAGCTGTCCTGACTGTACATTGTAGGATGCTGAGCAGCATTCCTGCCCTCCTCCCTTACCCCCCTGTGCAGATAACCAAAACTATCTCCAGATATTGCCAAATGTCACTAGGGCTGAGGCAAGGAGACAAAATTACTCCTGGCAAAGAACCATTACTTTACATCAGTGGTCACAGGTCTCAAATGGGTATTCAACATGGCCCAGCACTTTTTCCTCAGTTCCATGGTAAGCATGCTTTTTTGTTGTTTAAGACAATTAAATCCCATCTTTCCCTCCTGCAAACCGCCCCCCCCACCCACCGTGGAACCCCACTCCCACCACCAGAACCCAAAACCCACTGCCTCTGAATGGCCTCCTTTTCCTCCTGATACAGTAGGAGAAGAGGACCATCTCTCCATTTGTGCACTAGACTCATTCCCTCTCCTCTACGTGGCCCATTTAACTCTCTCTGGGTCCTCAAACTATCCCTGTCTATGAAGTCATGTCCAGCATGTACATATGTTCAAGTAGCCCTTTTCACCAAAAGACAAACCAAACCTTTCTTTACCATCTTTCTTCCTCTGGTAATGGGTGCATTTCTTGGTCTCCTGGTAGAGACAAACATCTCGGAAAGTTGTCCCCACACACAGGAGCCCCATTTCCTTAGCCAAGTTTATGGCTATATTTATTTGACCACTTAAAAAATATCTGTGTTTTTTTTAATGCTAGGCTAAATGTCCCAAATGCAAGACATTTTTATTTGGCCTCGTTTACCCCCGTATCCACATCACCCGACCCCATGCCTGGCACATACTAGGTGTTCAATAAATGTTTGATGATGTTTAATTATAAGACAAGTGTCTTTCAGTTTTGGCTACATGGGTATGCTTTGAGAGTAATTAAAGTAGTGTTGCCTCATGAATGTGTGTGAATGTTTCTCCAGCTTTGAATAGATTTTCCGATGGGAGACTGAGGCTGCAGATGGAAAAAAAACCATGCATCCCAACCCATAGCATTGGAAACCAAGTTACATCTCTTTGGTGCTTGGCAATACCAGGAGTTAATCAGGAGACTGGTGATGAGAACTGCCAGGTAACCAGAGCTGAAAGTGTCAATTAGAAGATGCTCAGTAAATATTTGTTGAATAAACTAATGAACAAAGCCAAAGGTTCAGGTTGGGGTATGCCACCTGCTCTCTTTAAAACTCTTCTGTTGATTCAGCTGCTTTATGAGGTCAGGTACCTCATGGAGAAAGCCAGAGAGGCATTCGCCTTGCTGGGCTGCTGGGCTGTGTTCTCACAATGAAGTCCTCTTCATCCTTTTCCTTTTCTTTTGGCTCCAACCATCAAGAAGTTTGCTGGACTTCCTTTTTTTTTTTTTTTTTAATCTATGGGTCCTTCTAGATAATGGTACCAGAGCAAAGAGGAAGTGGTCCCACACCCTGAGATGAGCTGGTGTGATGTGCCATCAGCTCGTCGTACTGGTATTGCCACTTTCAGACCTCTAAGTCTGAGCCCTGCTCACATGCCTTTGACGTGTTCTGGAGACAGTTGTGTAGCTCACCATGCTTTAAGTTCTGGTTCTACGGAAGAGAGGTTAACAGTTTCTTTAGGATCTTGACTTACTTTTCTTTACCTCGGTAGAAATATACGGGATGTCAAAATCCCAAAACTTTTGAATATGCTCATTAAAAATGGAATCGGCCATTGGTTCTTTATGAAATGCTAACCCCAAAGAACACGTAAAAAAAAAAAAAAAGGTTACTTCTAGTTCAGTAGTTTGAGGTTTTCTTTCTTTTCAGACAACCAAAGACACATAAAACCATGTTTTTTTAAGCCCCCCCCAGAGTGGTGACTTTCTGTTCTCTGAAGTAGGTTTTGACTTACCACAGCTTACCAGGAAAAGAGCTCTTCTGGGGACGTCACTGCAAGAGTGACTGATCTGAAGCAACAGCTCATTGAGAGAGGGGATTGGAGAGAGAAGCCTGGCTCCTCCACGCCGGACTCTTGTCCAACCACTAGGCCGTACGCCTGGAACTAATAGAAAATAATATTGAACGAAACTGAAATTGAAAAAAAAAAACAACCCCAAAACATTTTACTTCTAAAAAGAAAAGATTTCCTTAGGGAGTTAAGTCTGGTCCTTAACTAAGAAAGCATGTCACCATATGTCAAATTGCATTCTTTCAAAGGAGTTTGGTTAAGTTCTGAAATTATAGAGATCAGTTTTCCCTTTCTGTGTTTTGTTGTTTCTTCTTTCCCAGCGTTTTGGATCACGCACAGGCAGAACAAGGCATTCCTAGGAAAGCAGAATCAAAACCCCATTCTTAGGCCTTAGACTCATTTCTGAGTTGGAAATGAACCTGATTCAGAAATAATGTAACTATTGATGGTAGCCAGGGACCTTTGGGACTCATTAAGAAACCAGCTAAGTGGGTATTCTGCTCCTTTAAGTTCCCTCAGAAGGTCGGAAAGCATCACCTCAGTGAGGTCAAAGCTTCCCCTTTACGGGGAGACACTTCTCCAGCCGGTACATTTTTCAGAGAAAAGTAGAATTCAGATGTCCCTCCTCTCCCGCTCGGAGGCTCCGTCTGCTCAACAGGGCCACCTTTTCTTCTATTTCTTAACAGAATGACATGGACCTCCACCTCACATTCTGTGGGAAGTCCAGAGTTCTCTGCACTCTTCTGGGAAAGTCAGGGAAGAACCTCACCCTTTGGGAAGTCCACAGTCTAGTGTCTGCTGTCACGGGGACCGGGCAGTGACTGTGCTTCCAGGCTCCTGTCGCTCCCAGTGTGGAGCAGCTCATTTCCCTCAGGGCACCCTCCCACAGGATGCTGGGTGCAGGCACTTCTACTGAAGGCTTGAAGGTAATGGAGAGCGGTTACCTTAGACCCATGCTGTATAATTACACCTAAGGCTGAGTATTAGACATCACTGTCATCCTCCAAATTTGCCACAATTATCTACTTAAATGTGTCACAATTATCTACTTAAATCCTACTACTTGAAAGGATGCAAAAGCCCATTCATTCATTCATTCATTCATTCAACAAGTGTTTGACACATACCAGAAACTGCCCTATGTATTGTGGCTGCATTGAAATATAAAGCCCCCTGTAGAGTTATATTTTAATGGAAAGATGGTGAACATACAATAAAGAAAGAGCAAAAAATATCTAGTAAGATATATGGTAGGAAGTGCTATGAAAAACAGTTACTAGTAAACCAGGTAAGGCTATAGAGAGTTATGGAGGAGGGGTGGTTTTTTTAAAAAGCAGAACTGGGAGACTTGAAAAAATATATATGTGTTTATTGACTTCTTTAGAGAAAGAGAAAGAGAGAGAGAGAGAGAGAGAGAGAGAGAGAAAGAGAAAGATCGATCAATTAAACCTGAAACCTGGGCATATGCCCTCACCAGGAATTGAACTGGTGATGTTTTGGTGCATG